ATTTCCTCTGTTTTCTTTTTCCTTTTATTCCTTCATTATTACCTTCTTCTGGTTTAATTAAAATTTTTAAAACTTAATCACACCTCTTTGGACTATTTTTTTTTACTTATTGTTTTCTGTATTATAAACCTTGCAATATGATCCCTTAAAACTTGAATTTAAAATAACATCACTTCCCAGAAATAGTAAGATTATATAAACTAATAGTTCATTTGCCCTTCTCTTTTATGCTGTTGATATCATGTATGTTACATTTAAATGTTATGAACCTACCATACAGTGTATGATTTCTGCTTAAATGGTCATATGTATTGAGATAATTGAAAGAAAAAAATATATATAATCTTTTTATTGACCTACATACTTACATATTTGTTGTCCATTCCCTTCCACAGCTCAGAATTTCCATCCAGTACTGTCATGTCCCTCAGCCTGACAGCGTCTCTCAGCACTTTCCTGTCCTGTGTGAGGCAATATACTCTATTTTTATTCATACCCAGAAACTATTATTTTGCTTTTATTTTTGTTGTACAATTTCACTGGGTATAGAATTTCTGATTAATATTTTTACAGTACTGAAATGTGTCCCACTACTGAATTCTGTCCTGCATTTTTCTCTATCATTGTTTCCCTAAAAGTATTATATGACTTTTTCTGGGTGCTTTGGAGACATTTTTTTAAATCTTGTTTTCAGTAATTCTACTATCTAGGTGTACTTGTGTTTGCATTTCTATTGTTTTGGATTTACTATGCACCTTGGAACTTTGCTTATGTTTGAAAAATCCTTGATAATTTATCTTCAAAATATTTTTTGCTATATTGCTTTTCTTCTTTGGATATTCCAAACATACATATATTGGTGTCAAATAGGTATTTGAAACTCTGCTACTTTAAAAAACATTTTATCTCCCTTTTTATTAGTATTTATCTTTTTTCCATATTTACAGAGGTATAATTGACATGTGACATTATATAAGTATGCAGCATAATGATACATGTTACATATTACAAGATGATTAGCACAGAAAATTTAATTACATCCATCACCTCCCATAGATACAATTATTTTCTTATGCTGAGAAATTTAAAGATCTACTTTCTTAGTAACTTTCATACCCAGTACAGTATTGTTATTTTTAGTCATCATCTTGTGTATTACATTCTTAGAACTTCTCCTAAATTAAAAATTTGTATCTTTTGGCCACCTCCACCCATCTCCCCACTCCACCCCCTGCCTCTGGCAGCACAAATATGTTCTCTGTATTTATGAGTTCAGGTTGTTTAAATTCCACATATACATGAGATCATATAGTATTTGTCCTTATTTGATCTTGCTTTTTCTTATTATGTCATCTAAAAAATTGCTAAATTTCACTGCTGTCTTTAGATGTTTTCTAATAAGTTTTTTATTTCAGATATTATAATTTTCAGCTTTATAATTTTTATATTCTTAGATATAAGTTCTCTGCTGAGGCTCCCTTTCTGCACCATCGTTAATGATATTTTTAATACTTCAAAAATATTTTAGAAGCTGCAAAAAACTTCTTTTTTCTAATTCCAACATTTATTTGATCTTGAAATCTATTTCTACTGACTATATATCTTTTCCTGAGTAAGGTCATTTTTGCTCCTATTTGCACATCTAGGAAACTTTGTTGCATACTAAATATTGTGACTAATATGATACAGAGACTTTGTATTCTATTTTCCACTTTTTAAAGAATGGTGACTCTTATTCTAGTAGTCAGTCCACATGTTTATACTTAAATGTCAAACTCTATTTCCCCTGTTTTGGACAGCAGCTAAAATCTCTGCTAAGTTCTTTCAGAGTTTTTTTATTTCTTTTGGCCTTGTACTCTCCACCATGCATGTATACACAACTCAGTTTGTAGTTTATATAAGGATTTTAGGGTCGCTTTCTCTGTTTTACTCTGTTCTATGCCCTTGTACACACTAACAATCAAGCACTTTGCAAGCCATGAATGCTGTTCTTAGATTCCATAAAGTAACGAGAATGCATCTTTCTGACTGAGTTTGGTCATCAAGTTAAGAGCCAGGAATATTTTAAGATAGAAAGAGCTTATGCATGTTAATCATTACATTTGGTTTAGTTTTTTTATTAAATATATTGGGATGACATTGGTTAGTAAGATCACATAGATCTCAAGTGTACAATTCTATGCTACATGATCTACATATTGCATTGCGTGCCCACCACCCAAAGTCAAATCATATTCTGCCACCAGGTACTTGACCACCTTACCCTTTACTACCCCCCACCTCTTTCCCTCTGGTAACAACCATATAGTTGTCTGTGTCTATGAGTTTCGTTTTTATACCCTACATGAGTAAAATCATATGTTTTTTAGCTTTTTCTCACTAACTTATTGCACTTAGCCTATTTTCAAGGTTCATTCATGTTGTTACAAATGGTGGTATTTTATATTTTGTTATGGTGAGTAGTGTTTCATTGTATACACGGACCCCATCTTCTTTATCCAATCCTCTTTCAAAGAACAGTTCAGTTATCTCCACATCTTGGCCACCGTGAATAATGCTGCAAAAAACATAGGGGTCCATATATATCTGTGAATAAATGCTTTTAAGTTGTTTGGGTAGATACTTAGAAGAGGGATTGCTGGGTCATATAGTAACTCTATATTCTTTATTTTTACAGAAAGTGCTATACTGTTTTCCACAGTAGTTGTACCAGTTTACATCCCCACCAACAGTGAATGAGGGTTCCTTTTTTCTCCACAACCTCTCCAACACTTATACCTGTCTCGTTGATAATAGCCAATCTAACAGGTGGGAGATGGTGTCTCATTATAGTTTTGATTTCCACTTCCCTAATAAGTAATGAAGTTGAATATCTTTTTGTATATCTGTAGGCCATTTGTATGTCTTCTTGGGAGAGGTATCTATTAAGATCTTCTGCCCATATTTTCTTTGAACTTATTTAAATCTATATAATTTTATTAACCAACACCGATTTTTAAAATTAGACTCTTTGGTGTTGAGTCGTATGAGTTCTTTATATATTTTGGATATGAACCTCTTGTCATCAGAACTATTGTTTGCAAATACCATCTGCCATTCGGTTGGTTGCTTTTTTGTTTTATCTGCAGTTTCCTTTGCTGTGCAGACACTAAGATCTGGAAAAAATAAATTATATAAAAGAAAACAGACTCTAAACTTATGGACCTTGGTCTTAGAGAACATTTTGTGAATTTGACCCAAAAGGCAAGGGGAGTGAAGACAAAAATAAAATAAATGAATGGGACTATCAAACTGAAGTAAAGAGTATGAGCTGAAATCTTTCTCAGTGCACATTCTTTTCTTCAAGGGGCAAAGGTCTCTGCTGTCTGTGGTCCCTCTTCAGTACCTCCATAGCTGATCTTAACGTGTTTTCCAGGGTTTATTAGTGTTGTCAATGGGGTATTCACAGAAGAGTTAGTCAGATGTAAGTTACTTTGCCATTAGCAGAAGTTTAGTCCCTCTTGTCTACAGTAGTTTAAACTACCTGGAGGGGTCCCCTCAGGGTGTTTACGCTCAAAGCCTATGAAGACCCACCTGTCCTGAGTTACACAAAGGAAAGGACTGATGTCTTACTCTAAAACTACTTACATATCTATTAAAATAGATAAAACAGAAACCTATCTGAAATCTTCTTCATGTGTAGAACTTAAACTTAGGTCTCAACAGCATTTGGTGGAGAATAGCTTGGAGGTTGCTCTGTTATACTGAAGGACGTGTTGATTTGGGCAGTGGCCTTAAGCTAAGATTAATATTCTTACTCCATAAAATGAGAGAGAATAATACACACCATCGCCCAAAGGATGCTATGTAAATACTCTGTTAGGTTTAAAGTGTTAAATTACTTTAAGAAAAATACTGTGTAGGTAGAAGATGTGTCTTGTAAGAGAAATATATATATTTTTTCCATTTCTAAACAATACTCCCAGTACCCTTTTTACTGATGCATAACTAGTATTTAATGATAATACTATTTGCATTTTAAATTACTTTGTGTGCCCTGGATATTTACTCTGATCACAAGACGTATATTGCCTTGGGGGGTGGGGGTGTTATGCTGCGGTCATAATTAACTTTGGCTTAAAAGTACTATATGATCTTAGAAAAGAAAGAATGCTTGTTAGCAGTGCCTTATTAATTTTTCATCATACAGCAGAAAATTAACACATAATTTTATTTTGTTTTCTTTTGATATTTTCTACCATTGCCTTAAACCAAAGATTATATTTTCTTCAGTTTTATGTTATTAATTGTTAAATTAAAGACAGAGTATTTCTATGACCATAAACATAAAGAATTTGATAGGCTTGTTGAAATTAATCTGCTTCCTATCACTCTATAACAACATAAAAATTAGAGTTTGTAATTAGGGTAACAGGGCCCAGTTCATTCTTGTCTTATTTTTCCTGAATAATTTTTAAAAAATATTTATTGAATTTATTGACATGAGAGAGAGAGGAGGATGGGGGGAGGTAGAAGATGGTAAAGGGGGGTTACATGGTGATGGAAGGAGACTTGACTTGGGGTGGTGAACACACAATACAATATACAGACAATTTATTATAGAACTATACCCCTGAATCCTATATAAGTGTATTAACAAATGTCACCTCTGAATAACTTTAATAGTACTTTATTACAGTACCAAAATTTTCTCTGTGTGAACAATATATTTCTTATTATTAATTATAACCCTAATCTCCCCACTTACAATATCTTGTTAATTCATTTGTGATAGCAATATATATGAAGTAAAAATACCTGTTACATTTGTATATGTGCTATTAGGTTCTGGGAAAAGACACTATTATATTTTCATTATGAAAATTTCTTTTATAACATAACAAAAAGCAAGCTAGAATTAAAAATTAAGCATGCTGAAACAAATGGGATAATTTTATACATAGTAAACTATTCTTTTTTTAATTTTTAACTTAATCTTTATTATATTTGTTTTTATTACCACTTAGTCCCCTTATACCCGCTTCCCCCCAGCAGTCACCATACTGTCCATGTCCATGAGTCCTTTTTTCTTTTTGTCAATCCCTCCACCCCCTAACCTCCCCTCTACCACTAGTTATCATCTGTTCTCCATCTATGAGTCTGTCTCTGTTTTACTTGTTAGTTCAGTTTGTTCATTGGATTCCACATGGAAGTAAATCATATGGTATTTGTCTTTCTCTTACTGGCTTATTTCACTTAGCATAATGTTCTCCAGGTCCATCTACACTGTTGGAAAGGGTAAAATTTTCTTCTTTTTTATGGTTGAGTAGAATTCCATTATGTAAATGTCTCATAGTTGTTTTATCCACTCATCTACTGATGGACACTTGGGCCGCTTCCATATCTTGGCGACTGGAAGTAGTGCCACAATGAATGTAGAGGTGCTTATGTTCTTTCAAATTAGTGTTTTGGGTTCCTGCAGTTATATTCCCAGAAGTGGAATCCTTGGGCCAAAAAGCAGATCCATTTTTAATATTTTTAGGTATTTCCATACTGCTTTCCACAGTGTCTGTACCAGTCTGCAATATTCTTAAACAAACATAAAAGTAATAAACATTAATACTAAGGTTAATTTCAAAGAATATATAATTCAAAGTGAATGAAGAAACAAGCATATTGCAAGCATTTTCCACAGAATATCAAAGTGAGTGCAGTTCAATCTCATGACTGATTCTATTTATATAGTTAATGTACACACTAATGTAAATTCAAGTTGTAACCTGGAACAGAACAGTATCATGTGCAATATTACTTAATTTTTAAATTAATTTAGATATGCTTTTTATTTTCTCTGAACAAAAACACATGCTATCTGGTTGGCAGTGTTGCTACAGCTTTACCATTTAACTAATAAGTAATCAGATTCATTTAAGGTAAAGGTTTTGAACCAGTTCTATTGGGTGGCATGCCACACAGCTGTCACTTTATGTCTTCCATTTAGACAGTAACACACAGTAGCTGTTTATCTACAGCTAAAATTTTGCTGAAAAAACAAAACACTAGAACATCAGAACCTTTGGGAAATTGTTGCATCTATTCACAAACATAAACACTATTTTGGGGGTGAAGTTGTGACATACACTTCTGGGCCTCCTTGGGTGGAATGTCCTTCCTAGGCAGGTGCAAATATCTCCAAGCTGATGATCATATTTTAGGACCAAAAATAAAATTAAAAACTAGGTCACAAGTATGGTCTTTTGGTGACTTACTTATTATCAGTGGTAAGGAAAATTTCCACGAACTTAGGTCACAATTACTTCATTTCAGTTAAATTTAAAAGATGTACTGAGCACATTGTTTTGTGAATGTGCTAAACATGATGGAGAACCAAAGGTTAGTATGTGTCCTCTGGAGCTTCCATTACAGTAACGATAAACCAGCAGTTGATAAGAGTCATGAAAATAGTGTAAAGGGCTTTCTGAGCTACACAGGGCACTTTCTGAAAAGAAAGGGAATATATCTGAAATGACACTGGAATAGTAATTTAGGGTACATATTGCCAAAATTTGGAAGAAATTTATAAACAAATTCAATAGTTCTAAGGACTTATTAAACAATGTTTGAGCTAAGAATTGACACCATATGTTCCAAGATTACATTTCAATATTCCACCCCAATGGTTTTAATGTTACTAATTTCTATCACTGAAGAGTTTTAGCAGTCTGGTATTCAATGACTTAATTCTATACTGTAAATGTTATAGCAAAAGGATGTTATATAATGACCTGAGAAGTTAATAATAAGAATCATTCATTTAAGCTGAATGGAAAAAATGTTAAATATATTTTTTGGTCCAGTAGCTACACTGATAATAACAGATAATCAGTGAGTATAACAGCAAGGACTTTTTAAAAAATTACACAAGGTCTGTAATCTTTTATTTGAGATATAAACTCAGCTTTTCAATTTCTTCAAACTAAGGCCATCCCATTAAACACACAGTTGAGTGTGGTTTCCACTCTAGCATTGATTTTCATAGTACACTGAAATAAATCCTGTAAGTATCTATAACTCATTTTGTTATCCATGAAGTAAAGACTATTAAGCAGATCTTAACTGCTACTTAGAAGTTTTCAACAAAATTCAATGTGATCATTATTATTATAGTATTGGCACCTGAGTGATTTTCTGCATCATCTAAATATTCTTTGAACAATGTTTTTCCCTAGCTTACTGATACTTCTGAATATGAGTTAATTCTTATGTAAAAAGAGATAATTGTTAAATTTACATTGTTAAATTACCTTGGGAAATTTCATGTTAAATACCAAGTTTAGCTTAAAATGATCAAAATTTAATTATTCCAATTTCAATAAGAGATAGAATATATATTGAAATTCCAAATTTCAATAAGAGATAGAATATATAACAATTCATTAAATTATTTCATCATATAATTTGTTTCTGCTCTTGTAAAAATATACATACAATTATACATGTAAAACATTCACCAGAAATATTTCAAAACTAATGTTACATAAAGGTAGGGAGATATCCGTTACATTTCTAAGAATTCACTGATGTTGAATTTTGATTTTAGCAAGTGGTCCTGGTGCTGCCCTAAGGTGGCATTCTCTCTAAGCTGCAGTGGTCTTTAATGGAAGCAAATGGCTTCCATTACAACTTGTGGCAAATACCAGGCCTTTGACTGAGTGAGAAAGACCTTATTCTAGACTCGTTGCTATCATTTTAATCAGTGTATTTCCAATGAGACACATGGATGAAGAAAGGTCCTTCCACTTCTCCTGGCCTTAACTGAGGGCCTTTCTTGCCAGAATTCTAATTTCAGTTCTGTGTCTTCGACATTGTTGGACCATATGATCTTATGTGTAAGGTAAGTTAAAGGGAAGCAGGCATTAGCATATGAAACTTTGTAATATGGAAATGCTATCATTCACACACGACGGAGTATGTTAAACAGTCGGGGTCCTTCAGTCAGCCAGAAACTTGGCATTGTGTCGCCATGAAAAAATTGTTACTCTTTTTTTTTTGCTTGTTTCCTCTTTAAATGAAGCTGAAAATAGTACTTAATATGTTAGAGATGAAGATTCATCTGAAGCATTTAGTGAATAGTACATTTTAGTTATTTTAATTATCATCTTCGCTTTAGCACATAAGTGCATATATACATCGAGATTTAAACATTTATCTTCTTCCTAACACAGTGGAAAATATGTTAAACAAACCCGATTCCTATCTGTGTTTATTCAGTAATAATGGCTACTCTCCTGGACAGACATGCAGAGAATTTTAAGGTCTAGACTCCTTTTTAATATGCAACTTTTCTGATTTTTCATTACAATCCAAAAGAAAAATATCAAGACCACCTAATATTGAACCATAACCACTCCTGGAGCATAGAATAACAACCCCACCTCTGTGCTCACATGCTTTTCTCTATCCACTCTCATAAATCTGGGTGATCATTCAGCATCCACGTGAGTTCCTTGTTTCTTCCATGGAGAGTTGCCCCTGCTGACACTACTCTGTTCATACTCTGGCTTTCATAACATTTCAAGTGTCTTTGTACCGTTTCTCAAATCAATTAGTTCACGATATAAAATTAATCAATATACAAGAGAATAGACAAGACTATTCCCAGTCCCCATGAAAAATAATTATCTCAACATATCTTTAGAATATTTAAGCCTCATTTTAATCAAAACCCTTCACAGTATCATGAGAGATGTGTAAACTACTTGAATGACATTTCTCCCCCTTTAAGGATAGAAATACAATCTCCTTGCTTACATACTAACTTCAGGCAAAGTAGGTCCAGAAGAATTTAAATGAATTATTCAAAATTGAATAAGAAGTGACTTAGAAACCCCATTATCATTGCCAACAAGTCAATATGTAGGCTGGCTAAAAAGGAAGAAATTCTGAAAATTAAAAAAATAAAGCTTTGTCCTTACGGTATATCCCTAATACCACCAATGGGGTTGTTCGCAGATTCTAGTGGTATCACAGCCGTCTTGACCCAGCTAAGACAGAGGCTGCTGCATCCTGGGTACAATAATGGGTGCACAGTCTTTGGCTGCAAATTTTTTGTTATCCATACAAATTTCTACTCTCCCCATATGACTCCGCAATCCATTACTCCTCATACAATCCTGGCAGATGCTAACTGTATGAACTCTATAAGCTACATTTAATTATGTTCTACTAGAAAGGTGGAATATTTCATATTGTAATAACAATACCTCGATTCACAGGTTTTCTTCTGGGAGGCCAGCCCTAAACAAAAGCGTCATGTTAGCTTTCTTACCATTATGACATGATACCACCTTTAACTGAAATTCTCATTATTAGAGTCACAATAGCATTAGATTGCAAAGCAGGAGCATTGTCTCCAGAAGCTACCATTGTAATACCTGCACAGGGGAAATATACAGGAATGATAGGGTTCTTGGGAAGACTGCCAGGAAGGAACATGTTCATGGGTAATAAGCATCAGTGAAAGGGTAGTGAATGAGCATGATTATTAGACTGGTAACAGTGCAGGTAAAACCTAGGTGTTAAATTAATTATGTATATCAATGAAAAAATGGGTTATGATTTTTATTTCTTCATGTTTTAAATTTGTGGCACATATTTTTGAAATAACTAAGATTGCTTCTGTCTTTTAAATGTTGAGGTGTGTGAAATCCAATGTTTTTGTGAAATCTAAATATAACTTCATTTATTTCCAGTCAATAATAATACTAAAAAATAAAAAGGGATATATTTAATTTGTCAGTGAAGAGCAGTAAGTAGTGATGCAATCACCAAATAGTGAAATTATAGTTGTTCTTCCCTGTTATGTTTGGGGAACAGACATTATCTGATCTTAAGATCATGGAGTAATTCAAATTCAAAGGAAATGCTGAATCATCTTTATGAAGTAGTGTTAGAAAGCACAATTTTAATTACTTTGTTTTTTCATAACCATTCTGTTCTGTTGGATTCTTACAGAGGAAAGCACATATAAAAATATCACTGAGCAGTCTACTCTGTCACTTATGGTTCATAAATACCACTTCAGTTTTTGCCAAATAGAGCCTTTTCCTTAACTAAATCTGGAGAACTGTATGATAATTCTGTTTTCAAATTAAAAAAAAAAAACTGGGTCAAAGTCATCTGGCAATGGTTGAAAAATGCAAGAATTTTAAACTGTTTTCTAATAAATCTATTTTACTGTGCACACATTTATCTACAAATGTCTGCAAGCAACATAATCTTTAGGCAATTTGAATAGGCTAAGAGAAAAGGAGTTACCATTTTTTTATGTTCATATGTTTTTAACTTTTAATTTTCTCTTAATCTTTTTCCATATAGGATCTGGGAGAAAATTTGAATGGGAGACTTTTGTCCTTACGTCAGCCGAAAGGAGCTAAGGTTTCTCTTCACATAACGAACTGGCTCACTTAGCCACATGTATATGTAGATATTTTCTCCCCTCCACAGTCGATTATCAGTCTCCCCTTTATTTCTAACTATTGCTGTTTATATACCATATTACATTGCCTAATTTCCTTTTATCTTTTCTTTATTTTGCAGCGTCTCAGTACGTGTCTTTTTAAGACAAGTTAATTTAGCCAATTACTCTAGTTTGGTTGCAGATAAAATCTTTAATTTATCCAGGCCTCTCTTTATTCTTTCTAGGATACTCTACCCATTAATTTCATGAAACATTCTAATTCTCCAGTTTAGGGAAAAGCTAATTTCTCCATGCACATGGCATGCATGTGCACACACACACTGATGCAAACCAATATATGTCTATACTTTCAAAACTAATTTTACTTTTTAGATTTTTTTGCATTTTTAGGGTATTTGAAATAGCAATAGATTTCAAATTAAGAAATCTGTATTTGTTGTGCACTATGTTATATTTAAACTTCTACTTCATTTACATTTTAGTAAAACTAAGTTTTAGTTCTACTCTTGAGAGAATATTTTGACAGGCTAGAGTATGCGGATGTAGGATAGCTATCTGGAGGAATGTCTGGGGAATGATTGAAAAAGTCAAAAAGTGTAAGATTCAAAGGCTTGGTGCATTTGAAAATAAAAGTGCCATTTTTCATTTGCCCATTCATTAAAACACTGCACATACTACTTACTATTTTAGGCATAAGGGCAGATGTAGAACGCCGTGCCTGATCTTCAAGCTGGGGAGAGAGATAAGAAATACATGAAGTGATAGAGTACATGCTATGTGAATGCATGCAAGGAAGCAATTGGTCCTACCTGAGACACGTTTCCCAAAAGAGGGATGTTTTGAAATAGATTTTTAAGGTGATAGGAACAGATTGAAAGTGCCTCATTTATGGACATCTCACTTCTGATGTTATTATTTAAGTGAATTATTAATATAGACATTTCTTATATAGTTTGGCAGTTTAAATGTCTTTATTCTTACACAGATAGGAACTACATTTGCTTCTAATGTAGATGACCTAGAAGACATTGTACCTGCTTCAGGTGGTAGATGATTTGCTTCTAAGTACGTGCTACCTGCTACTTTCATGTGTAAATAGGTTTTCTGTTCATACTATGTAAACACAGCAATGAAAATAATACACTCAAAATATAACTGTATCGATTCATATCATAAGAAGATCATGGCCACAGAAAGTGTATTTAATGTGTCTAAATATTTAAATATTTAATGAATAGTTTTTTTTAATTTGGGGTTACAATATTTGTACAGCTTCTTCCACTCCTTTGCTTGTCTCTTTCCTGACTCATTTGAATTATGTTCCTTTCCTTTCTTTGAGCCTCAAGCTTGAAAATCTCCCCCAGATTGTCACACTTTATTCCTTGTCTCAGGGTCTATTTTCTAGAGTGCCAGAGCCAATACAATGGGTTCTTCAGAATGGGCCTTTGGAGTTCGTTACTTAGCTCCCCAAAGACAAAAACTGCTGGCCTTGCATGATATCAGCATTACCTAAGCCTCCACCTGTGGCTAGTTACGATGTGTAGGTGGAGGACAGGCTTTGGGACTTGGTAATTTGGGGAACTTTGCTATTTATTAGGATTATGACGTGAAGAAACTCTGTCAATAGCACAATTGATTAACAGAGTTAAGGAAGAAATTTTCCAAATTAATACATGCTCGGAAAGCCAGAGCATACTATGAAATTTGCAACCTTGGTAGTTCTTCTATGACAAACTCAGCACATTCAGGGTGAAAGAATGGGACACTGAGACCTGGAATGGGAAAGTGGGAGGACAAGCCCGACAACAGAACTCCAGTTTTAGCCCTTTCTGTTACAGGAGGATACACTTCATTCTCCTCTCATCTGGAGTATATGTAATGATATCACACGAGACAAGTGTCTTGCAGTAAAACACTGACTCTCCTTTTACTCTCGAGATGTGCTCCCAGCACCCCAATTGACTATAGGCCATAACTGAAGTCAGGTCCCAACACAGTCTCAAAAGGGAAAACCAAATCCATACTCCAGGGAGAAATAACCTATACTGGGAATATAATGGCTGTGCCAGGGGGCCTGGGGCCAAGGAACCAAAGGGGACGGGTGGGTCTGGGTCTGGAGGCCGGTAGACTGGGAAGGCAGGTGAAACACGAGACTGGAGAGGCTCGAAACCGTGTGAATTAGGATTTCGCATTTTAGAACGGACTACAGATGTTTGCTTTAATAATTTACTGTGTTTGCCCCTTAAAATCTGTACTAAATAAAATGGGAGTGCAAAAGCTTTCTTGGCAAAATGTTAAATAGCCATCAGAAATTTCCAGTATATAAGAATTGAGAATGTTATAACATTTTATGTATAGTTCAGGAACTCACCACATGACCAAACTGCCCAGGAGTAAAAAAAATTACTGTTGGAGGTGCGTTTGAATACCAGAATCTTTGATAGTTTGGTAGTAACTGTCCTCTGCAGGTTGAGTTTTGTTGATTGTTTGTTGTTTAGGGAATCCAGCCATTGGCCTGCTCTCTTAATTCTCTTTTTAAAAAAGGGGGCGGGGCTCTTGAAAGGCATAGGGTAAGTAGCAGCAATTAATCAGTAGCACCAAGATAACTATATTAATCACAAATAGGCAGTAGGGACAGAGGGGCAGAGAGGACCTTGACCCACAGAGATCTACGGTTGCAGCTAACAAAGCATGATATTCCCATGGCAATGAGATAGATGGGCTGCTGAAAATCTTGCTGTATGTTTTATGTAATTAGAATAAAAATAAAAAACAAGTTAGCAGAAGCATAATGACAACTATTGCTATGGAAATTCATAGCTACTTACCTAGTTTCCAAATATAAGCTGTGCCAGGGGACCCTGCAATTCCACAGCATGTATGTGCAGTAAATATTCCTCCAATTTTTTTCTGAAGAATCACATAGCTATTGGCCAAGATAACTGTGTACTGGTGAATAGGAAATATGCATATTTTTAAAAGAATGTTAGGTATGGGCTTCTAGATGACACTGATACCAGGAGATTGGAAATGCCACCATGGTTCACCAGTTAGAATGGGGTAAAGATCGAGTGATAAGTGAAGTTTTGGCCTGAGGTCATTTTACAGGTCTATGGACTCACCTTGCAGTTATGTCCCCAGTGAGCTGATGTGTTGAGAGAACGTAGATGGATATGTGTTGTCTGAATGGCACTGGGTGGGAGATGAGTGTTACAGACCTTCCCGGTTTCCCGTAGCTGCCTCTTTTCTGCCACCCGGTCAACAACCTATCCTGCTGGTTTTCCTCTCTTCTACTATACCTGCACGAAATGTCCCAACACTCAGCATGAGGTTTAGATGCCTGAGGATCTGACAAGGGGCTGAGTGACACAGTTTGAAATCGTGAGTGAGTTAGCCCTCCACAGTGTAAATTTTGACAGTGGGAAATGGAAGACTGGAAGAAATTGAATAGATAAAGTTCCCCTCTTTTTGTGTTTCCTGGATTGTCCTCTGATGTGATTTCTCATTGCAAACCTTTTAGAAAAGTTCTACTTGCCAAGCAAACATATGCGCTGAAACAAGGAGTTGCGTCTGTTTAAAGAAGTTGTGTGGGAAGAGCTGTGATCACAGTAGTGACTGCACCACGGTGCTTTTTCTCTACCTCACTTCCGCCTTTCTGCCCACCCTCGCCAGTCTGGGCTTGGGTTTTCCAAACAGCATCAACACTGTGTTCTGTGCCTTAGGCAATATGCAGAGGACAATATTAAGACAACCTCTCTTTGGCCAACCAGGTGGGGGTATTTTGGACTATATCACATGTTCATTGGGTCAAAGTTATTCAGTATGAAAAAAATACAAATTCAGCTTTATACGTGTTTCTTTTTTCTATTTGACACAGATTATATTAAAAATAGCCAGTGTGGACAAAACATCATAAAAATTCATATTAAAATGCTATTCATTTAATTTGTCCTTCACTTGTTTTGGAGGTCTTTTAGATTGACAAACTGAATGAGAATTTATATGCCTACCTCCTCTGAGCAATAACTATTCTGTCATTTTTTTCTTTTAAATTTTAGTCAGTTCTGACTAAGCACTGTATCAATTTCTTCCTCTTCCAGCAAAGTCATTTCCTCTGCTTCTGTCTCACTTACCATCTGTGTTATCAGGTAACCTAAGATAATAAAAATTCTAGCTCACTCATACTTCATACATAAAGTGATTTCTGTGCTAGGTTTAAAAAGGCCAGGCACCCTGACAGAGACGCGAGGTGTGGGCTGTAGGTGGGTGGCAGTTGTAGGCATGGTGGTCTTCTTAACAATGACCAGGAGAGAGCTGGGGAGTGAGAGGGCCATTTTTTTCTGAAAACCAACAGACCCTTCTGCTGCTTCAGGATAACCCTCAATGGGCCTGTACGGTCCTCTTTGTTCTTTATTCTCCTTGTAAGATGACTGAGCATCAGGAGGCTAAAATGAACCAAGATTGTAATACAGTGCAGAATCAGGAATACAATGTGGGATAGAGTTAGGTCATGAAATTATAGTAAACTATAAGTGAGGAAATAATTGTTCCAAAATTTGTTTGTGGCCGAGACAATGCTGTTCACCAAATCTCATTTTCCTGTCGTGGATTGTGGCCAGATTCCTGTGCTCCCTTACATTTGGTGACTGAGTTCTACTCACCTGGGAGGAAGTGGTGCATGCCATTTCCAGGCCTTATCCTTAAAATCGACTGTATGACTTTCCACTCAGCATAAAATGCAAGACCTTGAGGCCCCAGGGGATGGCCTTCCCCTCTGCAACAAACTGCATTTGATCTTCGTAATCAAGAAATAAATTGATTTTAGGTGAGCCTAGTAAGACTTGGGGATTGTTGAATTTAGCAATTGGCCTATCCTGTATCTTTCTCTCAAATGTTTTCATTGAAAGTCAGCATTACTTTTTATTTCTTGTAGGTATGGATTAAAGCAAAAGAGGTAACAAAGTTATAAATGTAGAGAAGCGTAGAGGAAAAGATCTCTCTCTGTGTCCCTAATTGTTGTTAGTACTCTCTTAAACACAAAGAGGAGATACATGTTTATTTCTTTTAATAGAAAATGAGAGTCCTCAATTCACTCCGTAAAAGTTAATTCTGGTGACTGAAATGGATGTACTAAACTTGGCCTCTTAAAAATGAGACAAATAAAAATTATTTTCCAAAAAATGTCATCACTGGGGGCTTACATATATGGAGAACTATTTACATACACCATTTGTTATCACCAAATATTTTATTAATTATTATATACTAATCTGCATAAGCATAAATGAGTAGGGGTTTCGAATGCACACTCATTAACTTCCTCTGGGCTGATTATGCAATGTCATTTTACAAGGTACATATTATACATGACCAAATGCTTCTTTTTGCAATTTTATGTTAATTATTAAACTTAGAATTAGCCATTATGAATAATTATTAACATGTTCTATTCATTACTACTATCATTCATATTTTTATAACAAGGACAACATTCCAGGAAGAAAAACCTCATTACATTCAAATATCATTTATATGCTTTGCATTTCAATCATTTAAAATATCAGAGAAATAACTAACACATTCAAGGGAAATTTGAAAACTGACCTAATAAAAATAATGAGACAAACAAAATTCTCGTTATTTCTCCTGAGTCTATCTTTTGTTATTTTTCAGACAATATTTTCCCAATACAGACGTTATAAAATGAACACAGTGATTTAACTATGTTACTATAAATGATGTTGAACAATAATTTATAATATTATTCAGTAAGGAACTTTGGTTGGTTTGTCAATCTATGATTTGTTTCATCAAAGAAAATGTTACACAGGATTTTTTTTTTCTGAACAAAATGGCAAAATTTGAGGAAGACAAATGAGTATCGGAAAATCCAGATGCATCATCTCAGAATTTGTGGGAGCTGGGAACATGAGTACAGCACCTTGGGAAGCACACAGGAAGATATATATATAGTTTTTTGGTAAAATATTCTGATACAAAATACATTTGCAAACAATCTATTTGGAAATAAAATAGCTCTCAGCATTGTTCACACAGAGAACCAGTCACCATAGGCATAATTACAAGCAGTGAAAAGAAATTGTAGATGGGAACTTTAGGGCTTGATATAAACAAAAAATTGTGTTAAATTGGGATGAGTTATCGCTTGATGTAGCAAGTTGCATTTCACTACAGACACTTAGGGATATCAGACTTTGCTAGAGGTGTCATGAGTATATGGATACGTGTGCAGGTTGCATGCAATACTGGACCAAGTGGTCACCGGGGTGTCTTCTATGGTTTCCAAAGTTGGAAAAATCTAAATTTTCTTTTGATTACATAGAATGAATGTTGTTTTCATTGGATTTAGTTCTGAATTGGCCAGAGATGGAAATCTTATTAGGTACTTTCAGAGTTGTCATTATCAAATTTTAGAATGGTTGGCATAATGTATAATGTTTATAAAAACAATAAATTATCTCTTATATTACAAAATACTAAATAAATAATATTTTTGTTAATGCCCCTCCTTAAAAGAATACATAAGGCCTGATAGAGCAGATAGAGTATTTTACATACCAGTTAAAACTCAATAAACAAATAGTTGTATAGTTAGCTATGTCCTAATAGAAACCGACCATTTGGGAGTGCATGTTTTTTTTTTTTAATCTTCAGCATCACAGGACAGTACCCTGAAATATTTGCTCTCTGTATCCTTGTACACAGCTATAGCAGAGAACCCTAGGAACAGAGATGTGCTAACTGGATCCCTTTTCAATAAAGAGGTGACTTTTCTGGTTCCGGGGGCATAGCTGCTGGACAGCCTCAGCTGTCAGCCTCTTTCAGGAGGAGGTGGGTCTAGAAAGGCCCAGTCATTTTGGTCAAATTTGGGACAAGTCTGATGAGTCGTTTTCGTTCCTTCTACAGTACTTCTTGGGGGTCAGCTAAAGCCAGGGTTTCTCAGTCTTGGCACTATTGACATATTGGGTTGAAAAAAATGTTAAGAGGGTTATCTCATCCAATATAGGATGTTTAGCATCATTCCTCATCCTCTGCCCCCTAGATGCCAGTTGCAATCCCTTACCCCAACCCCATCACAAAAATAAAAATTGTCTCCAATATTATCAAATGTTTGCCCCCAGTTGAGAACAATGGGCTCTCAGCTCTGCACCTTCTCCTAATTATCAATTCTTCCCCAACCCTGCCCTGACATACTGATGCAAGTGAAACTCCATAACAGACATCTGAAACATAAACCTTGTTACAAACTCACAAAAAAGGAAGGAAGGAAGGAAGGAAGGAAGGAAGGAAGGAAGGAAGGAAGGAAGGAAGGAAGGAAGGAAGGAAGGAAGGAAGGAAGGTATTTAAAAGCAAAATTGACTGGAGTCTTTAGCATTTAAGGAAATTGCCATAATTTAGCAAGTCTGTTTTCAGCTCCTTGCAATTGGCTGTTGAAAGAGGCAGAGATTCAAACCTGAAATAAGTAGATAACACTTCAGCCAATTACCTTAATGGGTCTGCAGATATGTAAAGATAGAAACACGGAAATTTGGCAGGTGAACTGAAATGCTGTGTACAATTTAAAAGCAGGGGTTTTAAAAATAGTTTTTAGGTTGGGTGGGGGCAATGGTCAAGTCAGGAGAAACATGGAGACGGTGCAGATTGGAGGTAGTTGGGGCCTGTGAAAATTTTGTCTGGGAATTAGAGGGAAACACGATGAGCTTGTTGGTATTATGACACAGATACACCTTTCTCACTTCTAACTCTCAGTAAACTCTGTTATTCCCATAAGTTAGCAATTTTTGTTCCAAGTTTGCTAAGGTAGACTTGGGTGGGTAGGAAGAATAAATATGAAACAAACAATAATTCCTTTTTCCCAATTAGTAGAACCTTATAAAGACTGGTTCTATCGCTGG